CCCGCAGCCGCCGGCGGGGGGCTGTGAAAGCAGAGGGCCCCCCAAAGACAGCACCCATGGGGTGGGAGGCCTCGGGGCTCTCTCCCTGGGGACCCGCAGCCCCCTCCTCCTCAAGGCCTTCTCTTTCAGGACAAATACCTGGCGGACATGGACGAGCTCTTCTCCCAGGTGGATGAGAAGAGGAAGGTGAGTGTGCCCCGGCCTGCGCTCTCGTCTCGCCCCCTCCAGAGCTGCTCACCCTAAACCCACTTTAATCCATGCTACTCCCGCTTCCCCCTCGCAGCCAGCGCTGCCTCCCAGCCCTTTTATTTTTTTCCTTGCTGCTGGGCTTGCCCAGCCCCTCCTGACCCAGCTCCGCTTCTCTCGAGCCAGAAGCGGGACATCCCTGACTACCTGTGCGGGAAGATCAGTTTTGAGCTGATGAGAGAGCCCTGCATCACGCCCAGCGGGATCACCTACGACAGGAAGGACATCGAGGAACATCTCCAGGTACCAGCAGGCCACGGGCAGCAGGGGCTTCCCAGGACCTTGCCCCGCTCCTGCCTGCCCTCCCTGGGCGTGAAGGCAGCTGCCTGCCCAACTAAGGCCTCAAAATCCTCCTGGGGTTTGGTCGCAGTTGCCTGCCCGGGCGGCTCCCTGTGGAGGTGCAGGCAGGAAGGCGGCAGGCGCTGCCAGGCCCTGCCTGAAGCGGAGGCGGCTGCTGGCAGGGGTTTTGTGCCTTGACCTGCTCCAATCCGGCTGGGAGGCACCTTCAGATTTGGGGCTCTCCCTCCGCCCCGCTCTTTCCTCCCCCCCACGGACGCCTGGCTGTTGCCAGCCGCCAGCACGGCACGGCACTGCCTTGGCAGCTGCCTGCGCCCCAGGGCCGAGTGGAGTAACTGGTTCGTGGCCGTCTCCTCCCTTGCAGCGCGTGGGTCATTTTGATCCGGTGACGCGGAGTCCCCTGACCCAGGACCAGCTGATCCCCAACCTCGCCATGAAGGAGGTGATAGACGCTTTCATCTCGGAGAACGGCTGGGTGGAGGATTACTGAGGGGCCAGCGCTGGCCCGCCCGCGTCCCCCCATGGCACCGCGGCGGCACAGACGGCTCTCGCTGGCCTGGCACTATGCCTTACTCGCTCTCCGGCTGTTCCCCCTCCGCTCCGGGTGCCCAGAGACCCAGCAGCAGCGAGGGCGTGTTGCCATCTCCCCTTCCCGAGGAACCGCGGCGGCTGGGCGGGCACCAAGGCTCCCCTCTCCACCAGCTCCTCGCCGACGACCACAGCACTTGAAGGAAGACCTGCCCGGCGCTTCGGAGAAAGCTGGCTCAGCGTGGCGGATCTCGAAGGTCTCACCGAGGTCTTCATCACCTGGAGAGCGGGGTCCCCCTTGGCTACGGCAGCTGACAACCCCCAAAGATCACATCCTGCTCCGGGGAGGTGCCGCCTGGGGACAAGCGCCCGGCACTGGGTCCATCTGTCCCCTCCCCGTGTACGTAGTCGTTTCCTCCTTCCATCGCCTGCCTGGCCAGGGGCGCCTTCGCCTCGGTCCTGGAAATAGCCGCTTGCCGGGGTGGGAGCCCAACGTTCCCGCTGCGGGCGCCGACTTGCCGGCCGGCTTTTCCTGGGAAATAACCGTCCCCGGGGCTGGAAGGGGCTGGCTCGTGCGGCCCCTCGCCTGCCGGGAGCGTGGTTCCCTGCAAACAACCGCCTGGGTTTGAGTTCTTCTTCCTTTTATTGAAATCCCTTTTAAAAAAAAACCAAAACCAAACCAAAACCAACCAATAAATCCACGGCTGACAGCTCCAGCGTTTCGGTCGGCCGACAGCCTGCCCGGCTTCTGAGTGCCCTCTGGAAGTTTGCCAATGTCAAGTGAAAAAAGAAAAAAAATATATATAAAAATAAAAAAAATTCAGCAATAAATGTGGAAAAAGAGCTGGGGTGGTTGGCGGCGGCGACCTCTGCACCATGGCTTGGGAACTGGTGCCGTGCCGTGACCCTGCCTGCGTGGGCTGGGGCTCAGCCCCTGCCTGCGCTGCCCGCCCTGCCTGCACGCCGGTGGCGGCAGGGACGTAGCGATACACGAAGCGCTCTGGCAAAACAACAACTTTAATCCAAGGGGGAGGGAAAAGACCAGTAAAAACCAGAACTTCAGGTGCTTGGTCCCGACACCAGTAGGTGAATGGGTGGCCGCCAGCGTGGCCCTTCCCTGGTGGCGGCAGGAGCCGGAGCTGCCGCCCCGGCACGGTGTCACCGCGCCCGGGATGATGGTGACGCGTCCTCGGCCTTCCCGGCTTTACCCCAGGAAGGTGGAGATGAAGACGCTGGTGTCCAGGTTGAGCGTGGCGTGCCACCAGCGGTCGGGGAAGTACAGGACCTGCCAGGAGAGCGCAGCGGGGGTGCCCCAGGGTACACCCCACGTCCCTCCAGGGTACACCCCACGTCCCCCCAGGGCCGGGCTCACCTCCCCGGGGCGGAGGGTGCACTCCAGCGGGCGCTCGGCCGGCGGCAGCGTGGGGTACGTGCGGTGGAGCCAGGCCAGCGTCGTCTCGTTGGGGTGGAAGTGGGGGGTTTTGTCCGGCGGGTACAGAAACCAGCGCTGGAAGGCAGCGGGGAGGGGGACACCCCTGATTCCCCTCCAGCCCCTCGGGGGGGGCTTCTCCATCCCCCCCCCATTCAGGGGATGCCCCTTGGGGGTCTTTTTTTCTCCCTCCACCTCCCCAAATACCTCAGGGCTCAATTCTCACCTTCCTGCCAAAGATCACCTCGGAGAAACCGGGGCCGTGCCAGTGAAAGGGAACGCCGGAGCCAGATCCTAGAGGAATGGGGGGGGGTTTGATGCTGGGGACCCCCCCTCATCCCCCCGCCCCCGGTGCTGCCTGCACCCACCCGCCCCTGCCGGCACCCACCTGCGATCCCGAAGCTGTAGGCAGGGCTGGGGCCCCATGCCTCAGGGTCAGCATGAGTTTCGGCATGGAAAGGCGCAGCTGGAAAGTGAGGGCGAAGTCCAGGGCAAAACTTCTGCCAGCGGCAGGAGGCCGGGGGGGGCCCACCCCCCCCCCCTCCCCAGCCTGGCTGGATCCTGCGGCTTCAGCAGCTGCTCCACGTACTCCTGGAAGGGGACGTCCACTGCGGGGAGGGGAGAGCCGGGGGGAGCCGTGCCGGTGCCCCCGGCCCCGGGGCAGGCCCTGCCCGCCGGGGGGGCTGCGGGGCGCGGCCCCCACCCCCAGCTT